GTAGCAGGTTGAGATGAGGTAAGAGGAGGGAATGAACTTATGAAGACGAGAGTCCTTTGTCACCTGTCACGCAGCGCGGGGCACTGTCGTTGACTCATCCCCACGTTCACATTCTCTACTCAGACCGCTGCTTGCTGCCGCCACACACGCACACACACGCACACACACGCACACACATGCATACACACACACACACACACACACACACACCACGAGACACCGCACACCAACGGACCTCAGCCCCTCCAAGGAGACGATGACTGCGACGTTGTTCCCCTGCACGCGCCTGCCACTGCCGGCGTCGCTGTCCTGCTCGTGCTGGAGGTGAGAGGTGCGGAGTTGGTGGGCATGTGGCGGAGCGTGGGGGTGAACGATGACGCGGATACAACGCAGCATCGCGCAGTGAGAGTGGTGCTCGTCGTGTGAGAACGCGTGAATCACGCGCTGCTGAAGGAGTACCTGGTCAAATACACACACACACACACACGCACGCACGCACGCACGCACACACACACACACACACACACACACACACACACACACACACACACACACACACACACAACTGCACAAGTGCCCACCTTTTTCAGCTGCCGTTTGATAAACTGGAGGGACTCCTTGACGACGTGTGCGCCCGGTCTGCCCGTGACCGTCAGTGAACCCAGGAAGCGCGCCTCAAAGGACTGGGGGAAGTCCTCCTCACACACGTCACGTTCCTGGCACAGCGGATGCACAGAGGGAGGGGAGATTGCAGCAGGACAGCAGCAAGAGCAGCAAGCAAGACCGTGTGCACGTGATTGAGTATGATACGGTGATGGTAAGGTATCCAGGCCAAGAGTGGGTGAGATACAATCATGTTGCAGAGAAACACCAGCGCAGGAAACGGAAAATCGAGGTTGGTGGGCACCTTGACGGCTGTGTGCTCTTGAGGGTTTTGTTGTGCGCGATCCATGCGGGTTTGCACTCCAAGCCGGTGCATGATGTGTCTGGCCAAACAGCAAGGAGAAGTGCGTGGTGACATGCAGCATAGATGGGGTGGTATGTGACATGTGGGAGGTGAGTCGCAACCTGTCTTTGCTGTGTGCTGTCGTGCAAAGACACGGTGTGTGTGTTGCGCAGCATCTCTGACGATGACTCACACCAAGTCCCCACACCAAGAAGGTGGAAGCCCCAAACCACTCTCGCCACCGCCACCACCGCCGCCACCAGGCAACGCTACTCGTTGCTCACCTGAACACTGTCTCTGCGTGTTGCTTTGAGATGATGAAATGGCATTGCTGTTGGCAGAAGGGCAATACACGCGAGCAATGGGGGGGGGCCAATGTTAGGAGGAGGGGTTTCGGAAAGAGATTACACGTGCCAATGCGTCATCGTTGCCTCGTTTGCCTACCAGCAGCAGAGCACCACCTAACAACAACAACACCACGACATCGCATTCAACAGTAGCACACCCAACAACACCATCTATTGCCCTTCACTTGCACTGGCAACGTACGGGAGGCGTGGCGTAAGTGTCCATGATGACGATGCAGTGCAGCTCCTCATCGTGCTTTGCCCAGGTGATGAGTGGAGCTGGCACGCGCACTTTTGATTCCAGCGACTTGCTATCCACCAGGGTCACCTCCGCAGGCGACACCCTCAACAGCATCTGCCATCATGAGCATGTGCGTGTGTGCATGCGTGAGTGTATGTGTGTGTATGTATGTTGGCTTTGGTTGAACACGACAACATCCACATACGTGGGTGCGAGAGCGCGGGAGAGAGCGAGAGAGGGAGAGAGACAGACAGACAGACAGACAGACAGACAGACAGACAGACAGAGACAGAGAAAGAGACAGACACACACACACACACCTACATATACACACACACAGACACACACCTTCTTCTTTTTGCTGCCTTTGGAGGGAAGCGATGCCAGCATTGCTTTGGTGTCAAAGACGGCGGGTGCAGCCGTTACAGGGTAGGGCGCCGAGCCGGCATAGCCAACGCCCTTGAACTCACACACGCTCATCTTCCCTCTTCTTCTTCTTCTTCTTCTTCTTGTTCCTGTTGGCACTCGCTCACTAACTATTCTTCCTCTTTGAAGCGAGGTATGATTTCGTGATTGGCAGCAGGCACACCCGTGCAAGTTCACCAGCGTGAAGCGGTTGAGCGATGGCGGTGCTGGTGATGGTGCTGTTGTGTGTGTGTGTGTGTGTGTTGTGTGTGTGTTTGTTCAAAACAGTCAACTTCAAGCCATGCCCCTGACAAGTGCGTGTGAGCAGCGTGTTTCTGTGTTTGGCGAAACCGCAAATTGCATGCAGGAAATCACTGACTTCGCCACGTTCGAGTCATTCCACTGACAAGAAGACTTTCAAGGAACAGACTCGCCCGATTTTTGCTGAATCAGCATCTTTGTCGTCACGACAGCAGGAAACAACAAACAACCCAACCAACCAACCAACAACAAGCAACACCAACCAAGCACCTTGTTTGGGCCGCAAACAACAACAACAACCTCCTGCTCTGTCTCCAACCACCAACAGCAGCAGCGCAGCCACACAGCGCTCAGCAACCCACAGCAACCCACAGCAGCAGGAGGCGAGCGATGGTGGACGGTGAAGAACACCAGGGCCGCTCTGGCACTGCAACGGCAAACGCAGATGCCGCAGAAGGGGAGCAGCGTGCGCCGAAGAAGGTGATGAGGAAGCCCAAGAAGGAAAGGGAAAACACAAACACAGCCAACAAGGCCGCAGACAACCAGCAGCAGCAGGATGGCGAGGACAGCACCAGCAACGGCACAGGTGGCGACCGCAAGCCCGCGGCGGCAGCAGCAGGAGGAGCAGCCAAGCCAAAGAAGAAGAAGAAGCCCGCAACCGGGGGTGGTGGCAAGGATCAGCCACAGCAATCAGAGAGCGCACGAAGTGCGCATGCGCCGTCGCCGCCAACCAGCTCGTCGCCTGGCCCGAAAGGCCGCTCGAAGACGCAACAGCCGCGCAAGAAGCGTTCACAGCAAGCAGACAAGGCACAAGCAGCAGAGCAAGACCAGCCACCCAAAGCAGCGGGTGCGGCCGGGAAGAAGAAGACGAAGAAGAAGAAGGACGATGCGCCTCCTGGGGATGGTGCGTCCTCGCCGAAATCATCCAAGAAGAAGAGGGGTGGCAGTGGCAATGGGAACGCAAAGGCCAAGGTGAGCCCAACAGCGTCGTCCTCGTCACCGCTCAAGGGCACGCGCCGGAGATCACAGCGGCTCTCCATGACCGCCACCGTCTCGTCCAACGTCGTGACCAGGGTCACATTCTACCTGTACGTCCCTGCGTGTTTGGGGGAGGGGAGAGGGGGGGGGGGGAGGGTATGCAAATGAGGTGGGTGTTGGTGTGTGGGTGGGGTGACGTGCCGGGGTCCTCAGTTTGCAGTTTTCAGTTCTTCTCCTATGTTTACCTTCCAATTTCACTCACACACACACTCACTCACTCACTCACTCACTCACTCACTCACTCGCACAGGAACGGGGACAAGCAGTTTGCGGGGAAGCAGGTGATGGTGGACTCGCGGCAGACGCCAACCTTTGAGCGGCTGCTGGACCACCTGAGCGAACAATTGGACCCGCCGTTTGGCCCTGTCATGAAGATTTACGACGCCAACACCTTCGAGCCCATCAAGGAGATTGCGCAGCTGCGCACCACCACGCACGCCGTCACCGTCGGCCGCAAGGCGCCGCTGAAGAAGCTTGCGTACACAGACATCCAGTCGTTCCGCAGCCGCGAGCAGACGTACGTGGCCCCAGACCTCACGCGCGTGAAGAGCAAGTTCGACTCCAAGGTGCAGAGCCGCGTACACAAGGCGGCAGAGGTGAAGCAGATCTTTGCGCTGGTGAACGGCGACGAGGACGGCGTTGGCGTGCGCGTGATTCTGCGACCACGTGTCCTGGAGAGCTGGGAGCTGGTGCTTCAGGAGATTACAAACAAGGTCAAGGACAAGCTGTTGTTTGGACACGTGCAGCGGCTGTTCACGCTCGACGGGCTGGAGGTGCATGACGCAAGCAACATTGTCAACGACAGCGTGTATGTTGCGGTGGACAAGATGCCGCTCAAGCTGCCGCCCTTCTCGCTCGTCGGCGGGAAGCTTCAGCGGAAACCGCAGAAGAAGGTGAAGCTCCGGCCGTTGAAGGTGGACCCGCCCAAGCGCAAGGAGGTGATGGTGGCCGCGTTTGGCCGCACGGGACTCGGCTTCCTGCACGACACGGAGAATGGCGCGCACGACACGACGGCGGGCGCATATGGCACGCTGAACGGGCGCGGGAAGGACGCTGGTGAGGAGGACCCGCCCATTACCGTGCACCGCATGAACGACAACGGCGACGCCATGTATGCGATTGATCTCCTTGTTCGCGGTATCACTACCAGCCGCCGCCTGCGCGTGGACAACGACGCGATGGACGAGGCAATATGCGCGCTCATTCGCCGGGCCCGCGAGCGGCTGTTTGAGTTCCGGCAGACGTCGCCAGACATCACGACGGCGTTTGATGACCGCATTGAGGAGGTGCTGCAGTTTATGCTCAACCCGGAGACACGCGAGGAAAACGGCGGCACAGACAACATCGCAGAGAGGTGTGTTTTGTGTGTTTGGGGGGGGGGGTTGCATATGTGTGTATGCTTTTGTGTGTGTGTGTGTGTGTGTGTGTGTGTGTGTGTGTGTGTGTGTGTGTGTGTGTGTGTGTGTGTGTGTGGTGTGTGTGTTTTGTGTGTGTTTTTTTGTGCGTGTGTGTCTGTGTGTCTGTGTGTCTGTGTATGTGTCTGTGTGTTTGAGTCCCCCGTCAAGTTTGTCCGACGACGTCAATTCGCGCCTGTTCATGCCCCACATGTGTAATTCTACCTACGCATGCATCCTCACCCCTCTCCTTCCACCACCACCAAAATCCCCACCACACCACCCAAACGCCCCCCTCCCTCTCTCCCCTCCATCGCGGCAGGTTTGAGCCGATGGTGCAGGCGGCGCTGAGCGGTCATCTCGCCCAC